ACTTCACTTTGACCCCACGTTACACACAGACACACAGTCACTTCACTGTGACCCCACGTTACACACAGACACACAGTCACTCCACTGTGACCCCACATTACACATAGATACACAGTCACTTCACTGTGACCCCACGTTACACATATATACACAGTCACTTCACTGTGATGCCACGTTACACACAGACACACAGTCACTCCACTGTGACCCCACGTTACACGCAGACACAGTCACTTCACTGTGACCCCACGTTACACACAGACACACAGTCACGTCAATGTGACCCGACGTTACACACAGACACACAGTCACTTCACTGTGACCCCACGTTACACACAGACACACAGTCACTTCACTGTGACCCCACGTTACACACACACACACAGTCACGTCACTGTGACCCCACGTTACACACAGACACACAGTCACGTCAATGTGACCCCACGTTACACACAGACACAGTCACTTCACTTTGGCCCCACGTTACACACAGACACAGTCACTTCACAGTGACCCCACGTTACAGACAGACACATAGTCACTCCTCTGTGACCCCACGTTACACACAAACACACAGTCGCTCCACTGTGACCCAACATTACACACAGACACACAGTCACTTCACTGTGACCCCACATTACACACAGACACACAGACACTTCACTGTGACCCCACGTTACACACAGACACACAGTCACTTCACTGTGACCCCACGTTACACACAGACACACAGTCACTTCACTGTGACCCCACGTTACACACAGACACACAGTCACTTCAATGTGACCCCACGTTACACACAGACACAGTCACTTCACTTTGGCCCCACGTTACACACAGACAGTCACTTCACTGTGACCTCACGTTACACACAGACACACAGTCACTTCACAGTGACCCCACGTTACAGACAGACACATAATCACTCCTCTGTGACCCCACGTTACACACAGACACACAGTCACTTCACTGTGACCCCACATTACACACAGACACATAGTCACTCCACTGTGACCCCACGTTACACACAGACACACAGTCACTTCACTGTGACCCCACCTTACACACAGACACATAATCACTCCACTGTGACCCCACGTTACACACAGATACAGTCACTTCACTGTGACCCCACGTTACACACAGACACACAGTCACTTCAATGTGACCCCACGTTACACACAGATACAGTCACTTCACTGTGACCCCACCTTACACACAGACACACAGTCACTTCACTGTGACCCCACGTTACACACAGACACACAGTCACTCCACTGTGACCCCACATTACACACAGACACAGTCACTTCACTGTGACCTCACGTTACACACAGACACACAGTCACTTCACTGTGACCCCACGTTACACACAGACACAGTCACTTCACTGTGACCCCACGTTACACACAGACACAGTCACTTCACTGTGACCCCACATTACACACAGACACACAGACACTTCACTGTTACCCCACGTTACACACAGACACACAGTCACTTCACTGTGACCCCACGTTACACATAGATACACAGTCACTTCACTGTGACCCCACGTTACACACGGACACACAGTCACTCCACTGTGAGCCCACATTACACACAGACACACAGTCACTTCACTGTGACCCCACATTACACACAGACACACAGTCACTCCACTGTGAGCCCACGTTACACACAGACACACAGTCACTTCACTGTGACCCCACATTACACACAGACTCACAGTCACTTCACTGTGACCCCACGTTACACACGGACACACAGACACTTCACTGTGACCCCACGTTACACACAGACTCACAGTCAAATTCGGAATGCGGCGGTGGCCGGACTGCGCCGAACAAAGCGGTCGACAGATGCTGTGCACAAATTAATCTGTCCGGGGGGTGCCTGCGAGCAAGTGGGGGGGGGGGGCGGAGTTTTTATAAGGGGGAGGGCGAGCAGTAGGCATTGGGAACGATGTCCCCCTTTGATGGAGACTTCTGTGTAGATGTAAGCGGAACATCCACATAGCTCGCGATCCTTCTCGCTGGACGCCTGCCCCCTCCCCTCTCCCCCCCGCCCCCCCCCCCCCCCCCCATGCAGGCAGATGGGATACCCCCCACTCCCACCCCCGCCCCCTAACGCGGGGGCCAGAGGCAAAGAGGGGAGCCGAGCAGCCAGCGACAATCTGGCGGTTGTGTCCCTAGCCGACCCAGCCCCATTATCACCGAAGACAAGGATCCCTCCCACCCCCCCCCCCGTAGTCTCTGACAGGCTGTGGGGGCAGTGGCTGCTCGCGAGTAGCACCTCGTGGGAAGGGCGGTGGATGGGACAGCGTCACAGGGCCGTCCACCGCTGTCTTCCGTCAGCGGCTCACCTAGTTCGAAGCTGCCCGTGGACCGGTTGCAATATCCGTCGCCGATGTTGGCCCCGAGTGAAAGTCGAGTGTTGGATGGCCGGGTTCGTGTCGCAGCGCGCCGACCACTGCGACACCACTCCGCACACGTGCAGCGCGTGCGTTCGCACGCGCTGCACGCACACGCGAACGCACGCGCACGGATACACACGTGTTAGACGTGAGTCTGTGAATGGATAAGTGTACCGACAAAGACAAATATCCCCGTGTAGCCATAAAGAGACTGTAGGGGCAAGTGCTGTTAGCGAGAACGACGCGCGAGGGGGTGGGTGGACAGCACCACGCCAGACCGCCTTTGTCTCCCCAGCGGCGATGTTTACACACCGCACCAGGTGCTCATTTGAGGCTGAGTCGACCTAGGGGAGGCCCAGGACCGGTTCGGACAATTGTCACCGGCGTTAGCCGGGTTCATAGTGCAGCCCGCGAATGTGAGTAGCAACAGGAAGGCATCAATCATTCAATCACCCGCGTTTGACGTCCTCCCACGCTCACACACACGAGAGATCCCCTCGTCGAGTCTTGAATGTGCACGTGTGTGTATGTTGATCTTCTGTTGCATCCTACGTAGCCAACCGTGCTAATCGGAGGTGCCTTAACAGACTGTTGGGGCAAGTGCTGTTCGCGAGCACCTGTGACAGGGGTGGGCAAATTTTTTTAACTCGCGGGCCACAATGAGTTCCAAAATTTGACAGAGGGGCCGGGCCAGGAACAGATGGATGGAGTGTTTGTGTGAACTAATATATATGACGTGTTAAAAATCATTACATGAAAGGATTTGGCCTTTAACAGGTAGCAAAGCATTTATTTGCAAGGCAATTTAACAAATTGCACGAACATGAACAATACAAAAACATGTCGTAACTCCCGGTCAAAGTACGCCAACTAATGGGGAAATGGGGGCATTACAGGAGAAAGGTAAAATTTTATTTAATAATAATAATAAAAATATTTGGACAAGTTCGGCGGGGCCGGATTAAAAAGCCCAACGGGCCGTGTACGGCCCGGGGGCCGTACTTTGCCCATGTCTGAGCTATGAAGACCGGCACGGCACACGAGGGGGTGGGTGGACAGCACCACGCCCGGCCGCCTTTGTCTCACCAGTGGCTGAGTCGACCTAGGAGAGGCCCAGGACCGGTTCGGACAATTGTCACCGGTGTTAGCCGGGTTCATAGTGCAGCCCGCTCACCACAAGTGTGTACCAACAAACCAATAAAGACACAGATCCCCATATAGCCTTAACAGACAGTAGGGGCAAGTGCTGTTAGCGAGCATCTATGAAGGCCGGAAGGGTACACGAGGGGGTGGGTGGCCAGCACCACGCCCGACCGCCTTTGTCTCCCCAGTGGCGATTTTTACACACCGCACCAGGTTATTAATTTTAGGCTGAATCGACCTAGGGGAGGCTCGGCACCGGTTCAGATAATTGTCACTGGTGTTGGCCGTGAGCGGGAATCGAACTCGTGTCGCCTGGTTCATAGCGCAGCGCGCTCACCGCTGCACTACCGCTCGCCACAAGTGTGTCCCAACAAAGATCCCCGCGTATAGCCATAACAGACTGTAGGGGCAAGTGCTGTTGGCGAGCACCAGCACACACCAGCACACCGGCATTTCACATGACATGTAACGCGCAGGCACACGATAACCAATAACAGCCGCCATTCATCGCTAAGTGCCAGGTTAGGTGCACTTCGAGGATTCCGCGTGGAGCGTGGAAGGTTCGCAGGAGGTCACAGGACAGCCCCAAGGTGTAATGAGTCGACTGCCTGTGACGACTTAACAGATTCACCACCTGTGCACCCCACTTTGCCAAAACGAAGATTCCCCCGTATAGCCTCGAGCAGACTTTTGGGGCAAGTGCTGTTGGCGACTTTGCAGCACTTACCAAGGCCAGAATGGCACACGAGAGGGGGAGAGTGACACGACGCCACGCCCGGAGCCACCTTTGTCTCCCCACTGCTGGTATTCACACAACGCACCAAGTAGAATTTTTTTTTCCTTGGCGAAACCCATAGATGCAGGTTCAAATATTCCCCACTGTTTATCACTTGGAAGTGGGAATCGAACTTGAGCCACCAATTATGGAGCACAGTGGGCTAACCACTGCGCCACCGCTCCCGAAAATACATACAGACGTACACAACCCACACCAAAAACAGACACTTAAAACATTTTAACAACTATTATCACGTGTTTGCGACGGTAATATTTGTGTGTGAGGAGCGGTAGTGCAGTGGCTAGCACGCCGCGCTACGAAACCTGGCGACCCGAGTTCCATTCCCACTCACGGCCAACACCAGTGACGATTATTTGAACTGCTACTGGGGCCTACCCTACGTCAACTCATCCTCAAATTAGTATTTGGTGCGTTGTGTATAAAATATATATAATATCGCCACTGGGAAGACAAAGACGATCGGGCGTGGTGATAGCCACGCACGCTCCTGGTGCACCGTTCCGGCCTTCATATGTGCTCGCTAACAGCACTTGCCCCTACAGTCTGCTAAGGCTACACGGGGGATCTTTGTTTTCTTTGCCCCGTATTTGTGTTTCTGCGAATTGCGTCGCTAACCCGTGTCTCGCTCTGCTCAATTCGCAGCATGATATACACGCTCATCGCTAACGTATAGAGAGAGGAGAGAGAGAGGAGAGAGAGGAGAGGAGAGACAACGACTGGAGGTCCGGAGGGATACGAAGAGACATTTTTTCTAAAACAAAAGAGAACAGCAAAGACCACGGGACAACGATGACTGAAGTTGTTTTTTGCTGTTTTATTTTTTTTGTATTCCCGGAGAAGACTGCTGCTGCTGCTGGTCGTGGTCTCTCTCTCTCTCTCTCCCGCTCTCTCTTCTAAAACAAAACCTCTGAACGGTGGACTCGGCATCTGCCGCTCAACTCGCGGAGGAGTCTCATCACTGGGGGTGTGGGGTGGCCACGTCGCAGAGGGTGGCGGTGGTGGCGGTGGTGGTGTGAGGCTGGCGGGGACGACTTCTCAAGTGACTGCGGAACTTCACTTTTGTGCGTGGGTCCAATCGGCAGTGAAGAGTGGCGAGCGGTGGCGGTGAGGACGACGGAGCTCATCTGCACCCGCCCCCCACCGCCGCGTTCCGAAGGCGCGCGGAGGAGCCGGGTCGGGGGGGGGAGGTGAAGCAGGGGAGCGCCTCTTCCTCCGCATCCTGGGAAAGAGGAAAACTAATTTTACAAACTTACGCCGCTTCGTGTGTATCATCGCTCGCTCTGGCTTTTTTTTTTAATCGCGGGAAAATTCTGAAATGAATTGTTCTTTATTTTGTAACCGCGCAAACTGGCGCAGAAACTCCTTTCCAATGACTTCGCGATTGATGGTTTTGGTTTTTTCTTTCATGGTTGTTGTTTTTGTGTGTGTGTGTCTGTGAGCAGAAGAATAACGGGAAGAATTTTTTTCAGATATTGCCCGATGGTGGAAACCCTCTGGAGATTTGGAATGAGCGATGTGAAAGGACCTCTGTTGGTTTTAAGTTCGCGATGGAGATTTAAATTCGCCGGTGGGAAGGAGATTTGGAATGAGGGATGGGAAGGGACCGCTGTTGGTTTTAAGTTCGCGATGGAGATTTAAATTCGCCGGTGGGAAGGAGATTTGGAATGAGCGATGGGAAGGGACCTCTGTTGGTTTTAAGTTCGCGATGGAGATTTAAATTCGCCGGTGGGAAGGAGATTTGGAATGAGCGATGGGAAGGGATCTCTGTTGGTTTTAAGTTCGCGATGGAGATTTAAATTCGCCGGTGGGAAGGAGATTTGGAATTAGCGATGGGAAGGGATCTCTGTTGGTTTTAAGTTCGCGATGGAGATTTAAATTCGCCGGTGGGAAGGAGATTTGGAATGAGCGATGGGAGGGAACCTCTGGACATTGGAATTAACAACAACAACAAAACACAATCGCAATGTGGAATCTCACAAACAAAATGTTTTCCTGGCACCCCATAACACCCCACCCCACCAGGCGAGCGTGGCATCTCCATAGGGCCGCGGGTGTCAGTTCTCAAAAGCGTCCGTGCGATTGGAAATCCGAATGCGGGTGTGCGACGTTTATCCGCTCGACATTATTTACTTGTTGTTACTTTCTTAAACGACGGAAGATATATGTCTTCGGGGTTTATATATGTATATCAATCCATCATCCCGTTTGCTACTGGCGTATACACAAGTGTCAACGTGTAACGGCTCTCGCCTGCTATTTTATAGAGACTTTGTAATTTGAAAAAAAACACAAACACAGAAAAAGGCGTGGTGCCAGATCTACAAACTCCGATACCGCCGCTGCCCTGCCACGGCGCGTGTATCGGTGTTGTAGCCTCGCGGGCTTCGTCCGTCCGTATTAGCAAGGGCATGGGTGGGGAGGGCTTGGGAGGGTGGGTGGTGCTGGGCGGTGGTGGAATCCACGGCGATTGTGACGACGCATCGCGTTCCCAAAGGATGCCGAACGCCAACACTCTGCGAATGATGGGGAGGGGAGAAGGGAGGGGGAGGGAAACCCTCGAAACCCCGAACCACAAACGCGATCGCCGTCGTCGCTGGGTTGGAAACGAATGTAAATGACGGCACGCAAACGTCACGGGTGAATGAGTGAGCGGGCGAATGGGTGGGTGGGTGAGTGGGTGGGTGAATGAGACGAGTGAATGGACGAATGAGAGAGTGTGTGAATGCATGAGTGAGTGGGTGAGTAAGTTAGAGAGAGAGAGTGGGTGAATGAGAGAGAGAGGGTGTGTGTGAATGCATGAGTGAGTGGGTAAGTTTGAGAGTCGGTGAATGAAAGAGAGAGTGGGTGAATGCATGAGTGAGTGGATGAATAAGTTAGAGAGAGAGAGTGGGTGAATGAGAGAGAGAGAGGGTGTGTGTGAATGAATGAGTGAGTGGGTAAGTTAGAGAGTCGGTGAATGATAGAGAGAGTGGTTGAATGCATGAGTGAGTGGGTGAGTAAGTTAGAGAGATAGTGGGTGAATGAGTGTATGAATGAGTGGGTAAGTGAATGTGTACTGCTGCTCACGAACAGCGGCTACCAGGCACGACTCTCATCCATACGCCTCGCGCGCACGTCATGTGACCACTGCTCCCGCATCTATACTGTACAATGCGCTCAGCCTTGCCTAGACCACCAACTCAAGAGATTTAACAACACGCAAAGGTGTACCGCTTTCGCAGCAGCAAAACACGACTCATGTTCTACACACCTCGCACGCGTGTCATGTGACCACCACACGACGCGTGTAATGCTCTCAGCCTTGTCTAGACCACCAGCACCTGAAGAGTTCAACACGGGGGGGACGCGTGGAACACGTGGCCGTGTTATTGAGCAACAATTGCACCACGCGTTCAACGCTCTTTTTGAGCTGGTGGTCTCGGCAAGGCTGAGAGAATTGTGCGCGCAGCGTGATGTGTGTGTATGTATGGTGGACTTCTTTCGCACCGTACGTAGCCAGCCAACGGAGGTGCAGGGGAATGACAGCAGGCGAACGGATGGGAGTCGCGCGCCCTGCTGCTGATGTGTGGCACACAGCATCCATGGTCAAGCCTCTTGCGTGCCGCTCAATCTTATTCAAAAATGCGGCGCACGTTGAAATCAGCACCAACCGTCCCGCAAATCACGTGACTTCTGTGTGGGCGCCCCCCCCCCCTATTTAAACAGACGCTGCTGCGAGGCCCTGATGCAGCCTCTCCCTCCCGATCCTCGCCTCTCTTGACCCGTAATCTCCCGAGTTTTCTTCGTTCCATTTCCGTCATTTTCCTGCCTCATTCCCCAATCTTCTTCCTTTTTCTCTTCCACTTTCTTTTGGGTGGGGGTCTTCTTTCCTTCCCCCCCCCCCATACATCATCATCATCATCACATCCTTTGACTCTTTACTCCTCTTTTCCCCCGGTAGAGTAACAACAAAAACAAACGACAACAACAACAGAAAACACTTGATCGCGCAAAATGATGTGGATGTTGTGTAGCGTCTAAATGCGGAAAGGTGACGCAAATCCATGGGGCACGGAGCCAACAGCACGGATGGCTGCGGGAGAGAGGGGAAGGGATTTCAGAGGGGCTTCAGTCGCAGAGAGAGGTGGAGAGATCGCACGACCTTGAGTCAGGGGGCTTCAGTCACAGAGAGAGGAGGAGAGATCGCACGATCTTGAGCCATTGGGGCTTCAGTCACAGAGAGAGGAGGAGAGATCGCACGATCTTGAGCCAGGGGGCTTCAGTCACATAGAGAGGTGGAGAGATCGCACGACCTTGAGCCAGGGGGCTTCAGTCACAGAGAGAGGTGGAGAGATCGCACGATCTTGAGTCAGGGGGCTTCAGTCACAGAGAGAGGAGGAGAGATCGCACGATCTTGAGCTTCAGTCACAGAGAGAGGAGGAGAGATCGCACGACCTTGAGCCAAGGGGCTTCAGTCACAGAGAGAGAGGAGGAGAGATCGCACGATCTTGAGCCAGGGGGCTTCAGTCACAGAGAGAGGAGGAGAGATCGCACGATCTTGAGCCAGGGGGCTTCAGTCACAGAGAGAGGAGGAGAGATCGCACGATCTTGAGCCATTGGGGCTTCAGTCACAGAGAGAGGTGGAGAGATCGCACGATCTTGAGCCAGGGGGCTTCAGTCACAGAGAGAGGAGGAGAGATCGCACGACCTTGAGCCAGGGGGCTTCAGTCACAGAGAGAGGAGGAGAAATCCCACGATCTTGAGCCAGGGGGCTTCAGTCACAGAGAGAGTGGAGAGATCGCACGATCTTGAGCCATTGGGCTTCAATCACAGAGAGAGGAGGAGAGATCGCACGATCTTGAGCCATTGGGCTTCAATCACAGAGAGAGGTGGAGAGATCGCACGATCTTGAGCCAGGGGGCTTCAGTCACAGAGAGAGAGGTGGAGAGATCGCACGACCTTGAGCCAGGGGGCTTCAGTCACAGAGAGAGAGGTGGAGAGATCGCACGATCTTGAGCCAGGGGGCTTCAGTCACAGAGAGAGGAGGAGAGATCGCACGATCTTGAGCTTCAGTCACAGAGAGAGGAGGAGAGATCGCACCATCTTGAGCCAGGGGGCATGGAGCCAACAGCACGGATGGCTGCGGGAGGGAGAGGGGGGAGGGAGTTCCAGATGGGAGGGGAGGAAGCAGAGGATACTTTTTTTGAGCGACCTCCAAACATGACAGTTCGCTACACGTGCCCGCAGTAGAAAAATGCAATTCCCGACGAAGCTCCCCGGCGCGTCGCGCGAAACGTCGGACGCCGTGCCGAGACAACGCGTAGCGGGCACAACCCGAGGGCACAACATCGGAGAGAGAGGGAGAGAGAGAGCTGCACTCTACAGCAGCAGCAGCGCCATCGGCGGTCGGGTTTACCTGAGTTGGAGACAACCCACGGGGAGTTGGGGGGGGTAGGAGCGGGTTGTAGGGTGAGGAGGCGATCTCAGCACTGGCCCAGCCAGCAGCTGCTGCAGCAGCAGCCCAGAGGAGGGAGGGGTGAGGGGAGAGGGGAGGGAGAGTGGGGGAGAGGGGAGAGTGGGGGAGGGGGGAGAGTGGGGGAGAGGGGAGTGTGGTTTGGGGGAAACCCCTGAAAAGTATCAACCACGCTCCGAAATTTCCGCAGCGCTGATTTGATCCTTGGGGGATACGCGTGAGCTGAGAGCGCACACACATACACGGGGCATACACACACATACACGGGGCACACACACATACACGCAGGCACACACACACACGGGGCACACACACACATACACGCAGGCACACACACACACGGAGCACACACATACACGGGGCACACACATACACGGGACACACATACACGCAGGCACACACATACACGGAGCACACACACACATGAGGCACACACACACGGGGCACACACACACGGAGCACACACATACACGGGGCACACATACACGCAGGCACACACATACACGCAGGCACACGCACACACGTGCACACACCCATACACACGGGGCACACACACACGAGGCACACACACACACACACGAGGCACACACACATGCACACGGGAACACACACACACGTGCACACACCCATACACACGGGGCACACACACACGGAGCACACACACATGCACACGGGAACACACACAGGCCTACACGCATACACACGGGCGCAAATACATGCACAAAGACAAAAATCCCCCGTATAGCCTGTAACAGACTGTAGGGGCAAGTGCTGTTAGCGAGCACCTATGAAGGTCGACACGGCACACGAGGGGATGGGTGGCCGACACCACGCCCGACCGCCTTTGTCTCCCTAGTGGCGATGTTTACACATCGCACCAGGTGCTCATTTGAGGCTGAGTCGACCTACAAACACACACAGGCGCACACACAAGAACAAAAGATCCTCCGCACGGCATTGAACATGCTGTTGAAGCACGTGCTGTTAGGGAGCACCTACCAAGGCACACGAGGGAATGCGAGCCCAAGCAACACTCCCGGCCGCCTTTGTCTCCCAAACACTGACGTTTACTTCGCGCCAGACACTCAGTTGAGGCTGAGTCGACCTATGGGAGGCCCACCAGGACCGGTTTAGGATATTCCGCCACTGTTGTTGGTCACGAGCGGGTCGCCGGGTTTGCCGCGCAGCGCGCTAACCATTGCGCCACCGCTCCCCACAACATGACCACTCTACGCACGCGCGAGCCCCGTGGGGAGTAGTCGCGTAGGGAGCATTTAGCCCACTGCGCTCGGAACCCGGTGACCCGAGTTCGATTCCCGCTCACGGCCAACACCAGTGACGATTATCTGAACCGGTCCTGGTCCTCCTCCCCTTAGGTCGACTCAGCCTGAAATGAGCACCTGGTGCGGTGCGTAGAATCATCGCCACTTTGGGAGACAAAGGCGTGGTACGGGCGTGGTGCTGGCCAGCCACCCGCTCGTGCGCCGTGCCGGTCTTCATAGGTGCTGCTCGCTAACAGCACTTGCCCCAACAGTCTGTTAATGCTATAGGGGGGATCTTTGTCTTTGCACCACGCACACACACACACACACGCTGCTCCTCTGCACGCGTTTTAAAAAATATTTGTTTTCACAATCCCGTGCAGATTCCCCCACCAGCGCCGCGCCGCGCCACGCAGAACTCTCACAGTGCATCGCGACCCTCCGTGGTTGGAGAAGGGGCCGAGGAAGCGGATATCGCAGAGCTAGCCCCGAGATCCCAATCTCGGGGCTGGCAGAGGGCAGCACTCTCCCCGCCTGCTGCTGAGAAGGGGGCATTTTTCGTCACGTGACGGTCAAGCCCGATTATTTTCATTCGACAAGGTAGGAAGCCACCATCGAACAGAGCCGCTGGTCATCGCATCGCGTGGCGCTGTCAGATGCCCTTCTGCGGCCGTCTGGAACGCTCTTCCTTCCGAGAT